TCTCCGACTCAGATGATAATTAGTTGGTTATATATCCGATCATTAATTACTTTCATTTGTGTTTAATTTGTGCTAGATAAAACAAACAAGATTAATTGTCAACAAATGAAAAAAATTAGCTGGATTAACCTGACCTATCTGGGCTCAAAATCAGGAAGAATATAATGCCTTCTGAGAAATTGGATGGCACGATCCCAATATTACCGTATCATACAAATGATCATAGAATATGAATGCTTTAAATATTACCTGCACCAGGTCTTCCGCTTGCGCACACTGCAAACAGTCGATATGGCGCAATGTACGTTAGAAGAATGTCCCATGTTAGACAATAGATATCATTTTGTTCGAGAAATGGAAGACTTTTTTAAAGTCATTATATAGGTAAAGGAGAAAGCAGTGTGACAGCGATAGGTGTCCAAAAGAGCGCGGCAATTCCGGACGAGTTTGACTAAAGGAATTGTCATAGGAACTTTGGAAAACAGAAGAAGACAGGAGAGAGAAAGGGGAGAAGAAAATTTTTTGATTTTGATGCGGTATATAGGTATATATTATGAGTAGGCGTGACTTATCAGAATGAGGATCTTAGTTTCCAAGATTGAAAATTCTTGAAGTATTATCAAAGAGGCGGGATTTTTAGTTGGTAAGAATCTGGCACAATCTTGAGATGCAAGTTCTAGATTGTTTATGAAGGTTTCCTTCTCTTTCCAAAAGAGAAAAAAAGATAAAACAAAAGAAAACCTAACAAAGATCTTTTAAAATATGTAAACAGATTTATAAACTTATAAGTTATAATAGTAGATTTATAAAAATTTTGTTCGTGTATTGTTTTAACGTGTATTTTAATAATTTTCAATTTAATTTAATTAATCTGTTATTTTGCGTACCTGTACGACACGAGTAGGAAAATTGATATAATTAGCGATCATAGTGATCTCTTCCTTTTTAGGTCGCGGGTTGATGGCATAGTAACCTTTCAGAACGGCCAGCTGTTCGTCGTCTATGAGCGATCTAGCTCTGACCCTTCTACCATTGTCGTTGTGAGTCTGGTTACCTTCGTCCTCATCTTCCGAATCCGCCTCAGAACTATCTTCTACTTTTTTCTTAGTTGATCTCGATGTTGGTTGATTAACATTCTCAAGCTTCGCGGCTAAACCTTCACTTTGCGAATCATATTGGTCCATTGCGACCCAATCTGGACAATGTGTCATCTCACTAGACATCTCGCTATCTTGATCCTATGAAGAGAATTTCAAGTTGATTTTAGTTTACAAACAGAATATGTTTATTTCTCTGCAACATAGAGAATTTAAATAGAATAAACAATTTGCTTAGATTCGACGAATTTATTTCAATCGTCTTTTATCATTTAAATTAAGTTTATTAATCAATTTTATTTTTGTTTAAAAAACAGCATTTTGTATAATTTATATTGTATCCTCAATTCAATGTCAGTCATTCGATATATTATTCTTTACTTAGGGAATTTATGGAATCTTTAATAAACGCGACATAACTAACAAATTAAAAAGTTATACAATTATTACATTTATCAAATTTATATATATCACTTATTTCTTAATTTGTTGTGAATTAGTGCTTTCTTTATTCATAGATTAAATTACAAATGAAATAAAAAAGATGGATAAATCTCTCGTTACATACTTGATAATCCTCTTCAAACTCCCGCTTCATCGTGGCCGGAGACGTGGACAGTTTCCGCACATTCGCTTCAAGCAACTGCTTCGTCACGGATGTATTTACGGTCTCTAGAATTCGTCGAACAGCATCGAGACCTTGCAACGGATCTGTTGGTGCGGGTGACTCCTTGCCCTCAGTTCCTTCCGTTCCCTCAGAGTCCGCTGTCGATGGACTCATCACTTCCCGATGCGTCTCAATCTGCTCGGTGACATGATCAAATCGCTTAGTATGCAATTGATTCAGCAGTTTGCCTATCGAAGACTGCAGGAAGTAATTTCCGAATCCCATCATGTGAGGCAGCAGAGTTGGTACATCATAAACACCTAAAAGTTAAACAAATCAGAGATATTAAGAATAAAATGTTTACATTATAAGCTGTCATCCACGGATTCTTCGATGACTCTCATTAAATTATTCTTTAGCGAAAATGAAGTCATTGAAGTCATTGATACAATCAGTTCAATTGTATCAATATCAAAGTTAAGGCATTCAAAATTAGGATAAATAAAGTTTAAAATTTTAATATGTATTTCTAAATATAAAAATAGGTGAGAAAAATGCGAGTTAAAATTTCGTTCATTTTTTCATATTAAAAATAAGTTTTAATGATCAAAACTTTGATTAAAAATCTGCAAAAGAGTAAAATTTGTTTATTTTTAATTAAAAATTATTTTATTATCTATTTCCTATCTAAAATTTAACATTTAAAAAATTTTTTATTTTAATTATTTAAAATAAAAATTTATCATTGTCTTGATATTTATGAAAAACTTGTCCAAAGACACATTCGTCAAATGTCTAGATGAAAACAGAGTATATACAACATGTATATTTTAAAAAGAAATATTGACTGTTGTGATAAAATTACCTGTTCCCTCTCTTTGAATTTCCTGATATTCTGAAGGTGATAACTTCGGTAGAATCGGCAGAAATGTGTTATTGTTGGCTGTCAGCAGATCGACATCACGTCGTCCCGATAACGTCTGTGCCTTCTTCTGACTCCGATCGACATTGCTTATGGTGTTCTGCCTCGACTTTTTCAGATTCATTATCAAGCACTTTTTCGCCGTCATGTGGCTCGAATACGATCCAGAATGAGAAAACCGCTTACCGCAATTGTTGCACTGGAATGGCTTTTCACCGCTATGAATACGCAGGTGTTCCTGCAAGAAATACAAAAAAATCAGACTAAAGTTAAAAAATATCTTCTTTATTTTCTTTTTATTTTTTTTTACTCAGATAACACACAGAAAACATAAATTCAACAAAATAAAAATAGATATATTTATTTTTATTTAAATATTAAATTATATTTAAAATTTTTAATATGTATGATGAAGATAGAGAGAATAATATATAAAAGACTAATACGAGAACTAAGTAGAATATAATAAAATAATATTGCGTTTTATGCTTTTATATGCTTATCATGAACTTATTATGATAACAATATACCTTAAGGTGATGCTTGAACTTGAAGGCCTTTTCGCAATGAGGACATTTAAATTTTCGTAAAACGGCACTTTCATCATGGCTGATCATGTGCCTCTGCAGTCGATAAACGTTGGCGAAGGTTTTGCTACACACCTTACAGGACTGCCAAATGATTGAAAAATTTAATTGTACAAGATGTATACCTGCTTTAAAAATATCTTATATTGCTAATACATTAAAATAGGACACACACTTCATGAAAACATTTTTCTTTGAGAGAACTATGCAACGACAGACCAATGACAGAATCATTTATCTTTTATTTTTATTTCTCAAAAGAGAAATTATTTTTTCAATTCACTGGTTAATCAATTCACTCTTAGAAAAAATATGTCGAAAAAGATATTTATTTTAATTGCATAAATTATGCATATTTTTTATCTATAATATATTTCGTTATAATTTATTATAATTTATAGTCTATCGATATAGTTCAAACTTAAAATATATGTGAAAAGAATCGAATAAAACAAATTTAAAATTCGAATAATTCAGACATTTTGAAATAATCAAATAATAAAAGTTTAATATAATCATAAGAAAAGCGTAAGAAAAGTTGTAAGAGAATTATATTATTATAAAACCATATTAAAACTATATTAAATAATAATTAAAAAAGATAGCTAAAATTGAAATAAAAAAATAGCTTTGAGCTTCTTCAAATAAATATCATAACATTAGATATATGACAAGCTATATAATTTGTGTATATTTATATCATTGAAATCGCATGCAATAAATTATTTCTTTACAGAAATTATCTATTTGATTATTATCTATTTGATTATCAAATTATCTATTTACAGAAATATAATTTATATTTACTTATTTATTTATTTTATAAATTTGCAAATGTCGAACGTTTCTTCGTACCTCACATTACCACTTTACAAGTTGCCGGTATTTATACGTTTATCCTGTCAAAGGAAACAGCAATTTAAAAATAAGACATGTTAACCTACCACCCTATCTACAGGCATTTATGTCCCTCTTCCTCCCCCGAAAATCGCGTGCGAAGAGAGACGAAAACGGCGCCTCTCGGCGGAAAGCTGACTGCCGCTTTTGCGGGGGTATAATCGATAAGCCCGCGCGCGGAACGCGACGAATAAAGGGGTCCTCTCCTCCCCCGACGGAATGTGTGTCCTTGACGGGTCATTGCGATCACTCACCACTTGGGAGAACTGGGCGTTGAGATCGTGCTTGTCGATGGTACAGGACGTTTTGTGCGTGTCCTCGAGATGAAGCTGCAGGACACGAACGTCCCGACAGAGGATACCGCACTGAGGGCACCTTTCGCCACCCTGCTGCTGCTGCTTCGCGGATGATCCGCCCTCGCTGTCGCCGCCACCACTCACCCTCCCGCACGCTTCTCCGCTGCCACCACCACCACCATTGCTAGCAACATTTCCACCTCCTGCGGTTGGCGCTCCACCCGCGCAACCTCCGCCTACCTCCGTATCTACGACACCTGCGTCGTCCTCGCTGCAGCCTGTAACAGGCGCACACGTGGCACGGCTTTTATATTTCATCTCGGCGACGCGCCATCGCACGAACACACGGATCGAACCACGCATTAAGTGTCGGTAACATCCGGCAAGAGGCGTATGCGTATAATTTTTACGCGTTTTTAAATAGTTATTCTCCAATCAATTTCTTTAAAATTTTCTACCGGGAATCAAAGAGTCTCGTATTCAAGATTCAATGAAATCAATGTTAAATTTGTGTGTGTTTTTTTTCAGATTTAAACTAACATTTTCTTGAGAACAGAGTTGTATCGGAATTTTTCAATGTCACTTCGATGTGACGCGTGCGAAAAGAAACGTGTTTGATGAACGTGAATTTCGTAATAGCAATACAGATAAAAAAACAACATAATTTCGATGAGTTCAATTATCAAATCATGAATACAGGATGTTTTGTATGAGTAAATAGTAAACATAGTAAACATAATCTCTGTTTACTCGTACAACATAATGGAAGATAGATGATATAAAGTCATGAATTTTCACATCATCATTTACGTTGTAAATTGAGTTTAGTTTAGTTTTCTTTTTTATCAATTCTAATTACCAGATAAAGTTCGATTTATCCAGTTTACATTTCGTAATACGAGTATCGCGAATAAATAATATATTCCGAGATGGTAATCTGATTCAATTTTAATCAGGAATTGAAACGCATATAATTATGCTGAGTTCAGATTTGATGTCATAGAGAGACAAAGATAATCCTTTATATCTATTTATAATAGTATTTGGAATGTAATCAACCTAAAGCCTCTTTTCATTTTCATTCTTTATCATATCGATATTAATTATATGATACATCTATAATGTTGACATCACTTCTATATATAAAATATCTAGCTAGATTATTTAGATCAAAGATATTTAATGTGACAAAATCGATAAAAATGTCATATTTTGGAAAAATAATATATATATTATTTTTGACACACACATAAAAAAAGAGTTCCAAATAGTAAAATACATAGAAGAATAAAAAAATAAATAATAAATAATAAAATGATTTTAGTTAAATACGTAACAAACAAAAAGTTGCAAACAAAAAATTATTCTAATGGTTTATTATATATCATACATTATTCTAATGGTTTATTACATAATAATTTGTACATTATTGTACTGAAGATAGTCCAATAGCGCGATCGAAACGTCTACAATTATTATTCCAATATTAATCCTTATTAATATATTTATATATATAATATATTTTATTTACACATTAATAATTTGTGTCGGCTCAGTATAGGCATTCTCTCCTTTTTTTTTTTAAATATATATTCTGTAGCATAATCAACCCTCAAAATGTTCTAGAATTTTAATTTATATTCATATCGAGTTACATGCCTAATGATATCATCAAATATCTAACAATTATCCTATTATAAATTCACTATATCATTATGTATAATTCATCATATATTTCTATTATACTAATTGCAAATTCATGTAGTCAATTACATGTCTATTAAAATATTAAATGATTAATAGTGTAATTAAATATTCGATACATAGTTAAAATTTTCTCAATGACAAATTGATCTCATTAAATAATTAATAATTTAAGAAATTTTTATATATATATATATATATATATATAATCAATATATATACATATAGATATATATATATATATATATACACATACACTAACTCAGTTATTATAATTAATAATTTATGATCGGTGATGTTACAGACATTTGTAAAATTGCAAGTCATATCTAGATCACATATTTCTTTGTCGGGATATTAATGTCCCAGCCACGAACGGGAAGCTGCGTAGCCGAAGCGAGACAACGAAGCCGACTATTATCGGGATTCCAAGTTGGACCGCACGTGCAAGATTGGCGGCGATCAATCAACAACGCGGGTATCTGGCGGCGAGTATCGGTTTACACGTGCGCGGAGTTAATCGTGACTATACCTTCGCCAATTGCCAATACGCAATGGCTGGGTCACCGCGTCAGTCGAATAATCCCCGGCGTGACGCACGTGCATCGGTGTGCACATGGATAGCATACGCGTGTGCGAAATGCGTATATATCTACTGGAAAAAGAGACGCGTGCGCGATAGACACAATCGAACCGGGCGTAGATAGGGCGTAATGCCAGAACGCGAGAGAAAGAAATACGCGAAATGAGCGCTGCCAAATGTTTCGCGGCGCCGCTATTAGATATGTACGAATGCGCCTAAGCGCATCCATACATATTCACCATGTTGATCGCGTCGACCTGATGCTGAACGATTGCGAGAGAAGAAAATAATAAATGAAAATTATAAATCTTTTGATCAAAACAGATATTTTGAAATCGAGGAAAGATAAGTCCAAAGTGGCCTCAAAGATCCAAAATGGTCACAAAGAATGTTCTAACGATTCTCTCGCTGTCTCTCATTTTGAATAATTTTTAGCAAGATATTTTATAAAGACAACACAAATCTATGTTTGTTTGATTTATGATTTATATCTCGTAAAAATAAAGACAAAATGTATAAAATTTATACCATAAATTTTGTAAATAATTAAACCGATTAATATTACCGCTCACAAACATTAAAACACACAAAACACACAAAAACACCACTATTAAGGTTAATAATTATATTAAAATATGGATAGATCAGCTTTTCACTTCACTCACAACACGTCCGTTCTCGTGCGACTCGCTTATATATATATATATGAAACTTGCTCAGGTACGAACACATGTCTAATAGCACTAAAGCTTACACATTTGCAGCATAACAAATAGGAATCATCTGGAATTATATCTGGAATTATATAATTATATATTATAAAAGCAATTCTTGACATCTGATTTTCAAACTCAAATAATCGCGAATAACGGATCGTTAAGATTATGATAAGATTAGTAATAAATAATCAGGTAAATAAGTTAATCAATATGAACATCCGAATTTTTGTTCCTTATTTAGCCAGCTATATTCTTGGATCTACTTGGTGACACATATGTCATACACATGGGATACATGGAAAGGTGAGGGGAGAGAAAGCGACGTGGACGAAATAGCATTGTCATATATAGTTCTTATACATAGGTGCATTTTTGATGTTTGAACACTGAAAAGCGAAACATGGAGTACGTGTCTAAAATAAAAAAAAAGGTGACATATGGTCTGACATAAAGTGTGGATAAACTTTCGAGTATGTCCATTGTCGATTAAAATTAAAATGCTCATCTCTTTTCTTTGATGTATGATTTCTCATTAATAATCGTATATTCGAGAGTGACATTGCTGATCGCGGTGCATTTTACTACTTGAAAATGCCCGCTAAATCAAAATCGATCGTAACAAATGTTTAATTCATAAATAATTTCTACGAATTAAGATTATTTGACTGATTATTGCACGAGTGTAAATAATGCTGAGAAAACGAGAAAGAAGAAAGAAAATATAGACAAATTTATACAATTTTTATTTGAACTAAAGCAGAATTAATGTATTTTAAAACATTTTAATGTACAAAATTTTTGAAGTTTCATAACTTCAAATTTTAATATTAATATTGTACGTGTAAAAACATTAAAGATATATTTATTATTGCAGATTCATTTAGGAATTTAGCTATCCTAATTTAACAATAATGTTGATTCCAAAAAATATAAAGATTAAGTAGGAATTAAACTGAAAGATTTTTGCAGAAGGTAATGATAAACTTTTATTCATTATCTTTTAAATTGCCGTTCATATCGTTTTTTTTTATTAATTCAAAAAAATTCTTGTGAAAATATATTGATATCTTTCATTATAATTTTATTATATTTTAGTAAGAATACGTGATATATGTCCCGTTGAATATTTAAATGAGTCAGAGAAGTTGAAGACCGGAGCCGTACAGAAAGAGCCGTACGTCTGGAAATGCGCAGAATTTCTCATAGCTATACTCGCGACTGTGCGCGGTGCGAATCTCACACCAGGCATGGCATATTAATCTCGCATAGGTAGATAGGTACACGCGCGCACACGCGGCATTCGTTGTGTGAAAACGCCGGTCGTAAGTCAATGCGCATAAGTTTGCGCGCCACTGTAATTAATATGCTGTTACGCGGAAACTTGGCGAAATCGGAAACGACACGTGGCAACGCTACGCGAACTCCTAAATACAGACGCAAGACGATGTCTTCTCTATCTCGCGCGTACCGTTTAATTAAGAACTAGACTATCTGCACGGCAAGTGGTTTCGTTTACCTAAAAGAATTTCAATCAAATCTTGTTTCGAGTATATGTATAAAAATATTTATATGTATAAAAATTGATTATATTAATATTGTATTTTATAACTCTTTTTAAAACAATTTTACAATTTTTTCAAATAACAATGTTATTAAAATCGATCGTCATGCATGCATTATTTTTACAATGAAGATGAATCGTTATTCTCAATTAATTTGATATTTTTAATTAGTTATTGTTGTACAGATTGAATCAAGGTAGAATGACTTAATCATGGATGACTTCGCCATTTTAATCTTGCGTATTTTATCGTGATTATTGTGTCAAGTAACTTGAGCTTTGAAAAACGGAACCCTAATTTGAGAAATAAACATACGGCTTGATACAATCTTTTCGTTCGGGGAAAACGTTTTAAGTGGTATAAAAACATTTTCAAGAGTTAATCAAGCTACGAGGCAAACGGGAAGTTGGCTGTATCTCTTCGGATTGCGTCCGCACGCTCACGGCTTCCACGAAGACGAACTTTGCTCGCCGATAAGAAACGTCGAAACGGGTCAGAGCCGTGACCTTTCTTGCCTTCCTATGTTCGCGATCCATGAAGCTCGCTCGTGTCGTAGAGTGCTGTGTCGCTTATATTTTTAATTGCGCGCCCACCGTAACGAAATGTGATATAAACAATGTTTCGCAATACGTCTACGTGTGTTCCTCTTATATAAAAATGACGAGAATTGCTCTTTATTCTTACGTGAAACCATAGAAACTTTTCGCGAT